CTCCGAAACTGTGTAGGTTGGTGCCTCATGCTTAAAATGGAACTAGCTGTCTTAAAAGGGGGTCTATTCCAAATTTTGAGTTTCTCACGCTTTCAAGTTCCCAAATCCTTGGGATCCACAGGTTTGTATATGCACGGGAGGTTGTGTGAATAAAATATTAGCATAGTTCAGAACTAATAGGGGGAAAAATCTTTTGGCCCACTCTTCTTTACAACATTGCTTCAGTTTGTTGATGCACAGCTCTCTTAAGGTCCTGCCACAGCATTTCAATCAGGTTTAAGTCTGGACTTTGAATGGGCCATTACAACACTTTGATTCTTTTCTTTTTCAGCCAGTCTGATGTAGTTTTGCTGGTGTGCTTGGGATCACTGTCCTGCTGCATGACCCGATTTTGGCCAAGCATTAGCTGTCAGACAGATGGCTTCATATTTGACTCTAAAATACTTTGGTATACATGGGAGTTCATGGTCAACTCAATGACTGCAAGGTGCCCGCTCTTGATTGCTCAAATTCACTGGAATTCAGGTCATAGCAGTCTCTGTGTCTTGGCAGTTGCTGATAAAGGCAGTTTTGCAGCTTCTGTTTAGTCACACACAAACACCCACGTTCCCTTTTAGCAGCTACTTGTCCAAACTTCATCTTGAGGGACCTTTGTTATTGGGCGCAGGGGGAGAGGACTGTTCCAATTTGCCCTCTTCAGATGCTGTTTCAGGGACCAGCTCTGTTTGGGTGAATATCTGCTCCTTCTTATCTCAGTTATTGTTGAATATTTTAAAGTAGAGTAGACTTTGTCTAGAGGGGCTGGGTATGAGTCTAAATAAAGTAAAAAAGTAAAGTAAAAAAGTAAAGGAAATCACACCACATTGCAAGGAGAACAACCTCCCCTCCCCCAAGACTCCAGGACTGATTGTATCACAAGGACCCTGAACCAGGAAACATTGCCCGGAACTTTACTACAACTTTCTAGGTGTAGATGTTGCTGAAAAATGTTTGTCGGGTGCCCTTTAAAGTGATCCTGAGGCCTATTTGTACTGTACATGTTTCTCCGAAACTGTGTAGGTTGGTGCCTCATGCTTAAAATGGAACTAGCTGTCTTAAAAGGAGGACTATTCCAAATTTTGAGTTTCTCATGCTTCCAGGTTCCCAAATCCTTGGGTTCCACAGGTTTGTATGTGCACGGGAGGTTGTGTGAATAAAATACTAGCATAGTTCAGAACTAATAGGGGGGAAATCTTTTCCAGTTACAAAGGAATTAGATTATGGGAAAGGTATTGACAGGAACAACAACACATGACATACTACACTGTTTCATGATTTATTTTACAAAAATCAAACCAAAATGGAGAAGCCATGTGTGAAAAACTAAGTACACCTTATGATTCAATAGCTTCTAGAACTCCCTTTAGCAGCAATACTTGAGGTAATAATTTTCTGCATGATTAGTCTCTCACATTGTTGTGGAGGAATTTTGGCCCCCTCTTCTTTACAACATTGCTTCAGTTTGTTGATGCACAGCTCTCTTAAGGTCCTGCCACAGCATTTCAATCAGGTTTAAGTCTGGACTTTGAATGGGCCATTACAACACTTTGATTCTTTTCTTTTTCAGCCAGTCTGATGTAGTTTTGCTGGTGTGCTTGGGATCACTGTCCTGCTGCATGACCCGATTTTGGCCAAGCATTAGCTGTCAGACAGATGGCTTCATATTTGACTCTAAAATACTTTGGTATACATGGGAGTTCATGGTCAACTCAATGACTGCAAGGTGCCCCTATCCATTTTGCCTCACTGACCACACTGGGCACCAACCACCATTGATTGTTAATGATCCTTAGAATAGATTCCTCCACCTCACAATTGTCTGATAGCTAAAACACTGGACAGGAAATGGAAATGGATATAAGAGTCAGGAGGAAGAATCTTTTATTATCCCTGTTAGGGATGTAAACCCTCACACATGAGGAGGAGAATCTATAAAATATTTCTTCTTGCCTTATGAGATAGTGCCAAATGTCGTGGTAACTCTTGCCAAGAGAAGCGAATAAGAACTGAATGATTTTTGTGCAGATTAAGCAAAACTGCAAACTAATACTTTCAACATGGATAAAATGTTGTTTGAAGTGTTTGTGCTGATATATTGTGTTTGGTTTTTGCCAAATGTGGAGCTGTGCATTATGGCCAAACATCTCTACTTTGGGCTTTTATGTCCAAAGGACATTGTTTCAGAAGTTTTGTGATTTGTCCAGATGCAACTTCACAAACCTATGTTGTGCTGCCATGCTCTTTTTAAAGAGAAGACACTTTCTCTTTCCAAACAAACCATACTAGTCTTTCTAATAGTACTGTCATGAATGTTAATATACTTCACATGCTAACTGAGGCCTGTAGAGTCTGAGATATAACTCTTGGGGGTTTTGCAATTTCTTTTAGCAAGAAATGACCTTCGGGTGAATTCTCTTGGATGTCCACTCCTGGTGAGATTGGCAACTGTACTGAATGTTTTCCATTTGTGAACAACCCTCCTCACTGTAGAATTATGGACTTAAATTGGCCTTATAACCCTTCCCAGATTGATGGGCAGCAACAATTGTTCCTAAAGCAATTCTGAATAGATTAGAAGTACCTGGGCTATAACTACATGCCCAGTAAAAACTGGGTGAAATGCAAAGGAGGCAAAGGCAGGATAAAAATATTTTAAATAAATAATAATAATCCCACTTTTTCCTCTGTGGGACCCAAGTGGCTAACAATGTGAATTTAAAAAACAGCCACACAGAATAAATTATGGTATTGAAGCATGTTTAAATAATTGAACTGAGCTATTTATTTTCTTCTCATCCTTTTGTATCAATTTGAGAGATGTTGTTTATCATTCCCAAATGCAGATGTGTATATTTCTTGGATGTAGTTTTCCTAATAGGCAGGCTTTCTGACACGTTTTCTTGATGTATGCTTTTTTTCCCAAGTGAAAATGGAGAGTTTGGACACATTTGCTGAAAAATTTATTTTGAGCTGCACAAGAAGAAGAAGAAAAAGAACCTGCCACTCACAGTTTTCTTTTTAATAATGGGAAAGTAAAAGATATAAGTTAACAGGCTTCTGCTGACAGGCTTTTAGACAGCATATCCAGATAACAATCATTTTATCATACCACTTATTGGGACATGCCAGTTAAAGATGCGAAGGAAAGGTCTGGTTAGAGATACTCAGTCCATTTTCCTTTAGAACTTTCTCACTGAAAAGTCACACAATTATGTCATCAGGTCAGTCCAGCTAAATAGGCCTGTAGCTTTTCCTTCTGCTTCACTATGCCAGTGGTTTAGTTTGGTTTGATTTTGCTCTGTTTTCGCTCAGCGCATTACATTTATGAGAACCAGTAAGGTGTGTGGATATGTTGTTGTCATGTGCCATCTATTTGTCTGGAACTTACAGCAATCTCACGAAAGAGCAATTTCCAAAATGTCCTATCCTTAAAAGCTGTGCTCTGCTTTTTAAATTAGGGTCTGCTGCTTTCTTTAACGATTCAGTCCACATCCTATTTGGTCTTTTTGTTTTCTCACTGCCTTCAGCTTTTCCTAGCATTATTTTTTTCCTAGTGAGTCTTGTTTTCTCATGATGTTCAAAAAGTACAACAGCCTAAGTTTCTTCATTTTTGTCTTCAGAGAGTTGAGGCTTGAATTGATCCAGGAACCACTTGTTTGTTTTCCTAGTTATCCAGGTATCCATAAAGCTCACCTCCAAAACCATGTTTCAAAGGAAACAATTCTTTTCTTGTCAGCGTTTTTCATTGTCCAACTTTCACATCCATATAGTAATTGGAAATACAATAATGTGGATGATCTTGGTCTTGCTGTTCAATAACAGCCTAGAGTGGTCGTTTGACCAGATAGGCAGGGTATAAATAGAATAAATAAATAAATAAAAATAAATATGTCTTTACATTTGACAATCTTATCTGATTCCTTTGTTGCAGTCTATACAACATGGGTTCTTCTTCTGGAATTATTTGGTGTGCTCAATTGCTGGTGTATGTTTGCATCATGATCCCTAGTGCCTCTTCCTTTTTGGAATCCAGTTTGAATGCTAGGCATTTCTTACTCCATACAGAGTAAAAGCTCTTGTTGTGACACCTTGAGCATCACTTTGCTCATATGAGAATTGATAGTTCATGGCAGCTATACCTCCAGGAAATAGCCAGTGACTTTTGTCTTCATAATGACCTGTGGGAAGTGAATAACTTCGCACAGCTCTCTCCTTTTTTTAAAATGATGTGGTAATTGCAGTGTTAACCTGGAGATGGGAAATCCAGACTCCACTGTGTCATGAAGGTCATTGAATGACCTTGGGTCAGTTTTTCTCTCTCAGCCTGATCTACTCACAGAGTTGTGGGAAGATAAAACTGGAGAGGTGAAGATATGTGCACTGCTTCAGTGGAGGACAGGTGAGCTATAAATGTCACAATAAAAATTTAAGTACAAGTAATGTATTTAAACTGTTGCTTACTTAAAGTCAGGAATTTCCTCCACAAAACATTAGATTAGTTATGGTCACACATGATCTCTATGGACAAAGAATATGGGAAACAGATGCAGTCATTCAGTGCACATATCTGCTTAGTAACAATCTCCAGAGAGTGCTACTTCCATGTAGTTGTGTAGGATCGCAGCTTATTGTACCTGTTCTTCACCCTTCCGTCTCTTTTTAACAGATAATGAGATCTATAACAGACTGGCTTGTTGAGCTCATTAGTCTCAGAAGCTGGCTGCTGTGCTTTGAATTACAGGCTCTACATTTTATCTAGCAATATATATTGCATTTCAGGGGCTGAGAACAACCACATTCATGTTCAGTAAGTTTAACGGATGAAATGAAAACATTTGTGTAAGAGGCAAGATGAAATTGAATAGCGTTACATGTGTTTCTTAATCTCTGACTGAAAACTGTATCAAGGCAATAACAGTTAGAAAAAGAAATTATGTGGTTTGTTTTTTCTGTACTCACAGGAAGAAGGTATTGTGAAAGAGATTGACATCAGTCACCATGTAAAGGAAGGTTTTGAAAAAGCAGACCCATCACAATTTGAGCTGCTGAAAGTATTAGGGCAAGGCTCATATGGAAAGGTAATATATTATTTATTCATTTGTCTGTTCTTTTGTTTTTTTCTGCCTTTCTGCCAAAAAAAGTACCATAAAAACTCAACAGAGCAATTACAATTAAAATGTAACATGTTACCCTGTTGTCCTGAAAATAAGACAGGGGCTTATATTAATTTTTGCTCCAAAACCACATAAGGGCTTATTTTTAGGGGATGTTTTATTGTTTTCATGTACAACAATCTACATTTATTCAAATACAGTCATGTCATCTTCTGGTTGCTGTACAGTGGTGGAGGGCGTGCTTTCACTTAACTGGGGCTTAATTTGGAGGTAGGGCTCATATTACGAGCATCCTGAAAAACCATACTAGGGCTTATTTTCAGGTTAGGTCTTATTTTGGGGAAAACAGGGTAGAAATATACAGGTATGACTGAAAAAAGAAACAGAGTTGCCCAACCTGAGCTATTAGAATCTCTTTAGCAGCCACTCAAGTTAAATGAAAAAGCTCTGTCTTTTATGTGTAAGTTGTTGTGTAACAACAGTGTAACAGTCCTGTTCATGTGTTTATATGTAAACTGTTACAGTGGAGTTTGAAATCGGCACTGAGTTCAAAAAGCAAGTTCATTGTTAGCATCAACCCTATGAACGAACCCTGTTCAAAAGAAGAAATAAGTGCAGAAGTTTGCCTGGATTGTGCTTCCTCTCCACCAAACATCCAGGATCCTTCCAAAGCAGGGAGAATAAGCCAACCCTGCACTGGAAGAAGCAGCCCACCCTTTGGTTATACACTCATTTCCCTTCCTTCTTCATGATACATTTAATTTAACAGGTCTAAATGCTACGTGTTTGTTACACTTTTACTATTAACAGAACATGGACATAACCCACTACTATGCCACAACTAGAGTAAGCACATTGAATCCATGGGATTTACATAGATATTCACTCACCATATCCCCACTGATTCAATGAAGCTGCTCTACTTGTGACTTACTGCTAGATTTCAGCCACGGTGTCACAACCAACAGCCTCATACCTACAATTCATTATATGCTGGGCAATGACATTGTATTTAGAAAGTAATGTTCTCTCTAAGACCAAAACTACCATCTCCAGAAAAACCTGCTAGACTCCACAGTGACTCAGTAACATTGTGTGACATTGACCCACAATGTCAAGTCTGATCAGTGGTTCAAAATGGCACCCAAACTGGGTCTTTTCTACTCTGGCTTTTACAGATACATCACAGTTCGGGCAGTATAGGACGCCTGTTGTCTTTCTACCACTTACCCATCCACCCCATTTGCCACCCCTCTTGGCCCACTGCCCATGCTTTTTCCTCAGCCACCCTTTATGTGCCCACTGTCACATCTTCCTTTTTTTCGCCTTTGCACATTCAGAGGACCAATTCCTTTCCTTTTCTACCTGTTTATACATATTTTAATGTTTATTTATTTACATTATTTTACTCCACCTTTCTCCTTAAAAAAGACCCAAGGTAGCTTATGTCACTAGAAACACAATATTAAAAGCTAAAAACAGTAAATCACAATGACTGTTTTAAAAAAGAAATCTCTATATTTAAAATCTCAAATGCTCATAAATACCTTTGGAAAAAAAATTTAAAAGGGTGGGTGTTAGTTGGTCACCGTGTGCATGTCTTGTGACAGGCCTTTGATATGCCCATGGTGATGGTGTGCACATTCACTCCAGTGTCTCCAACCATCAAAATGCTGTGACCTGAGTGTGTGCTCATATATTGCAGTAGTGTAATAGTCTAGCTGACTGTTTAAAAGGGACCTTCGATCTTCTGGAGAGGGTTTTGGAGGATCCAGTGGGTATTATAAAGGGAAATATAGTGAGAGAAAGATGGATTTCATAAACTGTCTTATACTTGTATAGTGGCTCTTGCCTTTCCATTGGACCATTTCAGCAATGTGGAGAGGGGGGATCTGCTGCTTGGGTAACACCAGTATACTTGTATAGTAACTTGGAAAAAATGTAGAAATTAAATGGGTATTTGGGTCAAACATCTGATGGTTATGTGTATGAAGTGTGCAAATGCATCTGATATTTTTCCCTAGTGTTTCTTTCAAACCCAGTCGCTTCTTTGAAGATAAGTAACAAATTTGCTGTTCTTTAGTTTAGTCACATCAGTTTTCTCTATGATCTCCAACATGACATCTAGCATTCCAGCCACGTGCCAGCTCTAATACATCAGATGCTTGTTTGTAATGTTCTTGCATTTTAGATCATGGAGTTACAAGAAATTCTGTTGCAGATGGTGATTCTCTTTATGAATAATAAAGCAACTGTGTTGTTTTGCAATAGAGAAAATGCTCATTTGTTATATTTTTGTGCATTTGATAACTATTTTCATGTCCTTTTAAACAGCACATAGTGTTCTCTATGACTGATATGTGTTGAGAGGAGTACAACTAGATGCAGTATGATAGGAAACAACCAACAGAAGACTAGTAACTTAAGTTTATAACTTTGATTTTCATAGCCATGGACTGTCAAGGTTAAAACAAAATGAAATCAAAATATGAGACTAACAATGTACCTCTCTATATGTCTGCTGAATTTCATACTCACCAAAAATTATTATTTCAGTCCAGAAACAGTTATCTTTTCTATTAACCAGGAAATTAATATCAAGGCTTTTGTGGTTGATTGTATAGGCTGAATTCAAATAACCAGTTTTACTGCATATTGAAAACTGGGCAAATTTTGAAGAGATTAATTTATAAAGGATATAAGCACTGTCTAGCTCAATGCTTCCCAACATTCCCCTGATGTTCTTGGACTACAGCACCCAGAAATTCTGGCCAGCACAGTTAGTGGTGAAGCCTTCTGGGAGTTTTAGTCCAAGAACATCTGGAAACCCAAGATTGGGAACTACTGGTCTAGCTAAAGTCAATCACTTTTGATGGAGGTGAGCCCTATTGAATTTGCCCAGACAGGGACTTCTTACTGTTCTGAAAAAAAAAATACCAGTAACCTTGTGGTGCTTGCTGTCAAGCAGTGCAAACTTCTGTGAACAGAGATAGAACTTAAGAAGCACAATTTTGTACAGTGACTAGAAGAGAAAGTATAATAGCAGTAACTAGCTAAAGTCAAGCATTTTTGATGGAGGTGAGCCCTATTGAATTTGCCCAGACAGGGACTTCTTACTGTTCTGAAAAAAAAAATACCAGTAACCTTGTGGTGCTTGCTGTCAAGCAGTGCAAACTTCTGTGAACAGAGATAGAACTTAAGAAGCACAATTTTGTACAGTGACTAGAAGAGAAAGTATAATAGCAGTAAAATGTTTGATTGTCGTCAAATTCTAGTATAATAATATTACAGCAAACATAGGATGGTTTCAGAAACTGAACATTATTAGGTATTGCCTTTGCTAGCCATGGTAGACATGCAAGAAGCTCTACCTAACAATTTACATTTCAAAATCCTGTTAAAAATTCCTTTCTAAGATCATATGATCAATTTGAATGCAACATCAATCTATCTAGATTGCTACTTCCTGATGTATCTCATCAGTTTCAGAGGCATGAGAGCTTTTAGGTGGGGATCTCATTTTCCGTTAGTGGGTGGGGGCTTTTTCCCAGAAAGATAGCAGGGGACTTTGAGTAAGTTCATGAATTTTATCATTTTAGCTGTTTACTGAATGAGTATGTTCACACAACAACCTATACCAGGACTCCGTGGAACACCTGTGCTAACTATGGACAAACAATGTAATAGTTCCTTCTGGCTCATCACTCTTGTTTACAGTTTGAGCAGATAAACAAAACACTGAGTATTATTCCTGGCTTTATTTATGCTGTTTCTGGTTATCTATTGCTCCTGTTTTGTGTGGTTTGTTTTCTCTTCCAACAAGACAGAAACTGAATCTGAAATCAACTATAGCCTCCCTCTCTAGATCTGTTAGGAGAGAAACAACCTGAAGCAGCTGCTGTGCCCAGCTTCACAAGGCATGATAAACAAACCGTGGTGTAAAGTTCCAAGTAGATATGGTGGAACAGGAGGCACAAGCACCTTGCTAGTATAGGACAAGCCAGGTTTTCTGTGCATCCCTGGATCACTGTAATTTGACAGTACACACTGAATGTCTGAGCTGGGCCTAAGTGTTTGAAAATTGCAGTGGACTAAGAAGGAACAAGAGGTGATATGGACAATTAGCTTTTGCTCTTACTGTATTGATGAAACTCTTTATATTGAAATATTAGGAGCAGATTTTGCATCTAGGCTCTCATCTGAAGCTCCCTGCCCTAGTATTTAGCACACATTAATATGGATTATGTGATTTAATTCATAAAGGCTAAAGCATGGCAGAATGTGTCATTGGGAGAAAAACCTGGATTCCCTCTTCTCCCTTTCTAGCACTGAGATTTTTACTTCTGTCTCGTTCTGCATATGTGAATGTGCACACATCTCTTTACCCAGTTCTGAATTCAGACATAGAGAAATTGATTAAAATATATCCTTTGGGATTGGAGTAGCTGTAAATTTTGAATGAATATTTCCCTCTCCTTTGCTTTCTACTGATGAGGAAATGCACAACCAACATGAATTTGACACAACTCCGGGAGGCAGCAGAAGATAGGAGGGCTTGGCATGCTCTGGTCCATGGGGTCACGAAGAGTCGGACATGACTAAACGATGACGACGATGATGAGGAAATGTGTTAAGGCAAATACTCATTTTCTCATCGTAACCAAGCACGCAGACCTTTCGGAGCTACAGCAGACACGAAAACAAAACATGTTTGTCTCTCAGAGACCAATTGCAGAATGAAAGCAGGGTTAATTTGCCCAGTGTGGACTGAGCTACAGTTGTGTGAGAATGTACAGACAGATAATTTGTCTTAAGGAAGCTGTGCTTCTAATGTCATTCTGACAGTGTAATCTGGTTTGGCCCTAAGATAATACTGGAGAATATGAAAAAATATATTTATCTGAACTTTGTTTGTTTGTTTAAAATATTTATATTTAATGAGGTGCCTGGCTGTGTCGCTCTCCATTAATTCAAATATACCTTACATGATTGCGCTTTGCTGTTTTTTTATGCAGGTGTTTTTAGTGAGGAAAATCAAGGGATCTGATGCTGGGCAGCTCTATGCAATGAAGGTACTCAAGAAAGCAACTCTGAAAGGTGAGAAGAAAAAAATGGACTCAGACCAAATGTACAATTCAGCCTGTTCTTATTAGTAAGCCGAGGGCTTTTTTACATTTAATAGTGTTGCATATGTTCCTGGGGCATAAATCCATAAATTGTTCAATGCATTATATTCTAGTTTTAAATCCAAAACAGCCTAACCATATATTGCTTTCTACCTATTAGATGTCAGCAGGGGAGATGAGAAATCAAACATTTAGCCCAAATTATGAAATTCTCCTTTTCATCTCTTGCTGCAAATTTCATTTATAGTACAAATGCTGCCCCATTATGTTTTTGTTCACTGCCAGGGGAACAAACAGTACTTATTATTTCTATGTTATCTGGTAATTCTTGCTTATTGTTGGGGTGAAATGGATTTCTTCTCTCCCTGCCATCATGCACAGAGCAACTGATTATACCCTATAACCATGTTCATGTATTACCTATGTGAATCACTGTTGAAATGGACTTTGGGGCCATGCATTTAAGCTCCTTCAGACTGCTTTTTTTCAGCAGGGTATCTTGTATACTCATGGAGGTTCCTTCTGTGAGTTAGAGAAAGTTCAAAATTCCACATTAGTCTCCACAAGCACAGGAACCCACTCCATTTCAGAAGCTGCAGTCACAATATTGGGATGTGTATGAGAGAGGAATGGTGCACCCCAATAGCAGGGCCTAAAGTGCTGCCATGACACTCTCTGTTAGGCATGGAACTTGCACATTTTTTTTCACTATAGCGACTAGAATTGACCAAGAATTCTGGTAGCTTTAGCCAAAAAGCCATCCTCACAGGAGTTTCAGTGTACACACATTGCCTTGGCAACTTTCTTTCTGCAGTACTGGATGTTCAGCTTGGAGAAGGACACAGGTGCAGCTTTCTAAGTTCCATGGGAGTTGCAAGGCATTGGGAGACTGACAGTTTCTTTAAAAGCAATCTCTGCCAACCCTAATAAGCAGAGAGGCTACCTACCTGTGCTCTAATGCCTTGCAATGTCCGTCTGAAGCTTCCAGAATTCTAGCTGGGAGAATTCCTAGTAAATTTTTGTAGCTGTAGAGAAAAAAAATTCTAAAGTCCCATGCCTGTTTCTGTGCCAGATATGCTACAAATACATGAATAGGAAAATGTTTAACTGCTTTAATCTTAAATAAGGCCCATTGACGATCCAGCCTATCATTGCCAACTCTGGCAGTAGTTTTTGGGATTTCAGGTAGAATTCTTTCCCACTCCTGCCTCAAGATCTATGGTATTTCTTGGTGGTCTTCTGTCCACATACTAATAGAGCCTGACCCCTACTTAGGTTCTGAAATGAAATAAGACTTGAAACATTCAGGAAGGCACAGAAACATGGCCTTTTTTGCAGAAAGAAGGTACTAGCAGCAAAATGGCAGCATTGTTTGAGTAAAGATGAACCTCATTGTGTGCTCATGGAAAGGAGAAGTATATCCAGTGTGAGAAATGGTTACATTAAGCTGACATTAAATAAATCTCTAAGACAGACTTCTTGCCTTGCTACTTGCCCGTTTCTAGTATTCTAGTGATCCCATAAAATCATGACCCAGCCTTGTTTTTGAACTCCATTTTTGAGACACCTGTATCTTATGTAAGAGATTTATGTATAAACAGTCATAGTTCAGATTTGGCTGAAATGACCACTCAGCCTTTCTACTACTATTGTTCCTCCCAGCACAAAATCATTGTCCCCCTGTCTTCATGTTCTTCCACATTGTTTTATTCTGATCTTGGTTTTAATGCATGCCGTTGACTTCAGTAATCCAAACTGGTTTTATTGTGCTCTGCATAGTTTTAAGTGGTTTATGGATTTTTTAAAAAAATAGTTCACTTGGAAATCATTAAACAAATAAAAATAGGGTAAAAATTTACAAATAAAAAGACACTTTTCAGCCATTCTTAGGACAACTCGGAAAGGTGTTCACCCAAGATGAGATCTTGCAGTCAAGGGAACATTCCTGTTTCCCCTTCCCCAATCTTTTTGTTGTCATGAAGTTTCATAGTTGCACAATTCCCACTGAATAGCATGAAACTTGCTTCTGGGTAGACATGCACAGATCTGCCATTTGGTACTTGTAAAAAGTATTGCATTCTGATCTGTCTTTGTTCTTTTTCACTTAATCCGAGATAATAAAGGACTACAAAACAACCCATGTGGGTTCCCTTTTCAGCACACCTTGAGATGTGTCTTAGTAGAAAATGATTTCTTCCTAATCCAGTTATTTAAACAGTGCTACACTTTTAGCAAAATGCTTGATAATCATGTCCTCTATCTTGCCTCCCTGTGTAATTGAATGCAGAAAGTAACCTTTGTGCATTTGTGTGTTAAACGTGCACACAAAGAATTAGGAAAAATCATTTCTACTTGCTGAGCATGGCAGTCTTTAGGGTGTATCTGATTGCAGGCCTGCTGCAAAAAGGGAAGGAAAATTTCTTTTCTTTGACAGAACGATGGCGCATCTAATGACTCTTTCACCATTGTTGCCTTCAGTGCCTGAAGATACGGTTGCATTATATATTAATAATGGCCAAGGAGCATAGCCAAAGAAACCCACATACTGGCTCTTATGCAAGGGTGGGAAATTGAGCAGTCAAGCAAGAATAGAGTGGTGCTCTGTGTGCAGTAGATATGGTAACTCCGTTTGAGTAACAAAGATAATATTGTTTGCTCTTGCAGCAAATAAAATGGTGTTCTGTTTCCCATTTGATTCTAGTTAATAGCTGGAGTTCAGAGAGAGGTCGTTGAGTCAGTTCACTTGTTTTATCCTTTTTTACTGCAGACCATGTGAACTAAGAAATAATCTTCTGATTGCAAAATATGCATGTATCATTTCCCCACTGCTATAATAATGCTTATTTATCGTAGTACTGGTGAGATTAATTTAATATGCGACTATACAGTAGAGCGTGTCAGCTAGATGCATAAATGTAAATAAATTACTGTTTCAACAGTAGAAGCCAAATCTTTGATTAAGAAGGCTGTGATTGTGAGGTCCAAATGCTATGGCCACCAAGCTGAGCTTGTTTTAAGTTACTTTATGTGGTGCTGATTCTCAGAAGGGAAACCATTACTATGCAATGGTTCAGGATGCTGTTACTGTGAATTCAAATGTCATCCTAGGATGTAGGAACTTCAGCTTAAAGTCACCACCAAGCCATTCAATTTACTCACTCTTTCACGTTGAACTACTGAATCCAACCTTGGTTAGTACATAAGAAATTACTGACATTTTTACCAGCTTATTGTGAGGACCAAGTTTAGGACACCATTGGTCATACCACTGCTACTTTTGTTTTCCTTTTTGAGCTGAGTCTCTTGTTCAAGGATGGTATTTGGAAAAAAGCTATTGTTTAGCGGTGGGAGTATTGGTGGTCGGAGCACTAAATCCAGGTGAATTCAAGGAAAGCCAGGCAGTTGAAAGGACCACTTGGATAGGTCTTGATATTCTAGCTATACATTAGAGATAGTTTTTCATTAGAAGAGAAAAATCCTTAACTGCTGAAAGCCTCTGATTGTCACAATAGATTTTCACACTTCCCATAGTTTGCAAATTAGCTCACTTTGATTGGTGACTATACTTCTAGATGTAAGCACAAACTTTGTTTGAGAGCATGGTTGCTCAGTGATAAAGCTCGGCCAGAATCACATATTTGAAACATTACTGAGATTTTACCTAGAATAATAGGCCAACTGAATCTGACCCAAGGGCAGCAGATAAAGAGATGGATGAATCTTAGTGTGTCCTCCAGTATTTGATTTTTTAAAAAACCTCTACTTCTTTCTGTCTTGTTTAGGAATTCTTAAGCAAGACAGGAAGAAGTAGAGGTTTTAAAAAATCAAATACTGGATAACACAGTAAGATTCATCCATCTCCAAGGGTGGCAGATAAGTTAGTTAATTAATTGTGCTAGGATCCTGTTAAGAAAACAAGCAAAAATGATCAACCCATGTGCACCAGCCAATTTTCCAGCTGGATAAATTCTTCCCAGGGGAAGACTATGTTAAGAATCAGGGCCTTACTAGAAAGAAAGAAGTAATAGCACTGATTTGTCACCAGAAACATGGCTGGTTGCGTAGAGGTTCAACCCAAACATTTAAGATTCAGACACACAAGCTATACTTAACCAAGTATCTTCCACCAACTTGTTTCTAAATTGTTTGTTTACTTTTACTAAGGCAGGGTACATGGACAAGTAAACAGCAAATCCTGTTTACAAAAGCCACTTAACAAAAGCTGGGTAAAGGAAAAACAATTAGCTGAAGACATGGTAAAAAGACCAGAATGAGAGGACAAATATGACACACACACACTTTCCTGTCTCTTATATTCTATGCAGTTGTTGACAACAAGCTAGGTAGCCATGGGGTCCAGTTTATTAAGCAGACAGTTCAGGCAGCAATAATTTTACATGGTTATGTTAAGCCAAGTAAAGTAATGCTTTAAACTACATTTGCATTCTGGAACCATAATCAAAGCGTATTTTTTCTCTAATATTTATGACATACTCAGGGACACTTCTTCTTCTTCTGATGTACCCACTACTGCCTCTGGGGTAGGACAGGATGTAGGCTGGGGGGAGTTTCGAATGTCAAGTTGTGATTGGTTTCTGAAGAAGAATTATTAGTATTCCAGCAGATTAGTAGGCAGACATTCTCAGGACTGCATGACAATCAAAGCTGGAGGTTTATGTCAGCTGCTTTATGCATAAGTTAAATTTATATTCCATCTTCCTTCCAGTGAATGTAAAGTACCATGTATAGCTTTCCTCCTTCCCATGTTGGTCCTCACAATAATCCTGTAAGAATGTTAATAATGTATTTGTATTAACCAAGGTTGGATTCAGTAGTTCAACCTGAAACAGTGAGTGACTGGCACATGAATTGAATGGCTTGGTGGGGACTTGAACTTGAAGTTCCTATGTACTAGGATGACATTTGACTTTACAGCAACAACCAACAGCTATAGGAGAAAGAGGTTTTATT